CGCGAAGTTCATTCACTTCCTGGTATGTCCTTAAGTTTCAATAATAATAATATCACAACAGTTCAGAAGGAATGCCTGAATCATTTCTTAATGCAACTGGATATTTGACAGATGCTAAGTGTATATCAGACATTCTAAAAATTTATATTCACGGGATACAGGACACACCCTCAAACTTTGTCATCAGATTGTCTAGCAGATCTATTTTCTACACTAACTGGATGTTTTCTTATATGCACTGAACAAATCGTCAAGGCATGTGGAAATATTTCCAACAATACCACCACAATAAAATAAAGTATGAATGATAATTGATATAAGTATAAAACTTGGGCACTGTGGTAGAGTATGACTCCATTATAGATAAGATTTTATTTTGATTAATCACACAGTAATTAATAGTGTTCTCTAAGCTGGTTGGTTTGGTTGTGGGGCTTTCGTCGTCCGCAACCAAACCAACCAGTTCAGAGTGTGGTGAGAGCTGGCTGCTAGCCAAAGTTCGCAAACAGTAATTGACGTCAATGTTTATGTCCCCAATATTGGTGGTGAGAAAATGAGAACAAAGGCTTTGCGTAGGCGGATACAGTTAGCATATGGATGATCTGACAAAGCCACAAAGAGATGCAAGGTTAACTTTCTGTGGGAAACAACCAATCAACAGACTGTTTTTTCTACTAATAATAATCTACAATAATGTACATTAAAATCTATAAATATGTGTTGATTTTCCTTAATAAACGATATGTTGCCTGGCCCTTGTCTTCTGTTGTTACAAGAGAACACTATTAATTACAAATCATCCACCTGAGCTACAAATCTTCTCTATTATTTCTAAAAATCACACAGTGTTGTACAGAAATACTAACTGATGAAGTTTCGAGAAAAAAACTATTGCTCATAATTATATCAAGTCACTCACACCTATCACAGTTACACTCGATCAATCATAGTGATAATCCTCAATAGACCCTACATGGTTGCATAAACCTGATGAAGGTATTATACATGTACCGTGAATTTCACCACGGACTGTCTAATTAGCCAATCATGAATTCCACTGTGCGTATAAATTTGAATCGGAGGTTCATCGGCTGAATGCTGACCAGTCACGTGCTTGGTGCAGGTTCGATCCCTGACCGACGTGGACGGTTTTAAGGCCAGTAAAGAAGGAAGATTAGATAGGGGGAGGGGGCTAGCAACCCTAACGCATGAAAACAACACAAACACTCCTGAAACTTCAAAACTCCAGCTTGAAGCCCTATCTTCCACTCAGAAAGCAGACGAATGGGAATAAAGTATTTTTTCCCTTCACGTTCCCCAGTAGAACATAGGGCTTCAAGCTAGTGGCTTGAAGTTTCTGTAGCCGTGTTTATTTTACAGGATGGGGTTGCTAGCCTCATGCCCAACCTTTCCTCCTCACCAGCATTACTTCTGGCTTAGCGAGGTAAAGGAGTGCATCTGTGGCCGGGGATCGAACCCCGGACCATGTGCATGGTCGGCGAGCGTCCTAACCGCTATGCCACCGACTCACGAAAGCTTAAAATGAATAAATTAAAGTATAACCATATTCTCAATAGTTGGTTTGTAAGGATTTTTGGATTTGTTTTGAAGAGTTTGACGAGTTGATCACGGATTGATATCAGTTAGGGAACCATTGAAAACCAGCTGAGTACTGAACAGCCAGCTGTTTCATCCTAGTTTGGGAATCATCATCAGTACGCACCCACCGAAGGAGTTCGAACCCCCGGACCTTCCGGTTACAAGGCAAGCTGGCTCGGCCAATGGATGGGACCCAATTCAATGGCCACAGTCCATGAATTCTAACTTCTCACCAATTCGTGATTTAGCGCGACAGCTATCCAGTACTCCAGGACTTGGTTTTCAATGGTTCTCTTTCTAACTGATATCAATCCGTGATCAACTCGTCGTAACCATATTGGACCAATGTGCATACATATATATATTTATGATACGATTATCAATGTGTTGTTAAAAAAGTGTAATTGACATTTTGAATTAGAAAGATCTCATCAAAAAAGGCGTGAATCACTCCGATAAACTACTGTATTAATGGATAGAGAGAGATTGGCTGAATTATGCAGTCTTCATTATCTACAACTTCTTTTCAATCCTTTATTTGTTTTATATATTCAATCTATCAATTATTTGCAAATGACTATTGAACATTTAATGAATTAGTTGTTGATTCGCTTGATTACGTAAAGATTATTCATCACTATTTGTATAAACTGACTTGTTTTGCAACGAAATGTCAATTAGGATTATGTATATGTATATAAACCGCTTAACCAACTAACTACCTGTACAGCTTTGCAGTGGAGATACGAAAAGGTTGGTTGGTTCATTGGTTGACTGAGATTTATATGGTTCTTCTTAATTATTTATGAATAAATTATTCTCACAGTATTATTCACCAGTATTAATCAACACTATATATACACCGATGAATCATAGGGGAAAACATGGGAGAGTAAAAACACTTCACCCTATTATTCTCCCTTTATCATTTTATAGAATGATGAACTACTACTTGTTTTTTCTTTTTTTTTTGACGAGTAATCAGTCACCATTGATTGATTGATTGAATAATTCTCTTTCTGTGTAACACACACACTTTCTCTCTCTCCCCAACCCTCTCAAATTAAATCAATGAGATGCTCACTGGAGAATCGCCCTATTCAGGTAGGTAGTTACCTGGGATTCCAGTGGGAAGTCGTGACCAGTAGGGTGCAGCAGGTCGGGTGTGAGGACAAATACTCACCGAAGACATTGGCTAGGGTTCGCGCTATGTCGTGAATTGGCAGAAGTTAGAATTCATGGGCTGGCCATTGGATCGGGTCCCAGTGGCTCAATGTTCTACGAGCTCGCCTTGTAACCGGAAGGTCCTGGGTTCGAACTCCGGTAGGTACGTACCGATGAAGAGTCCCAAACTAGGACGAAACCGCTGTCCAGTACTCCCATATTTTCCAATGGTTCTCTAACCAATGTCAGCTCATGATGAAATCCTGTATCTAATAATTCACACCTTCTCTACAATGCGAAATTGTTCGAAACGAAAATCTCATAGTCTAAATTACTTATCACTAACTGACTGAGTTTATGACTTTTTTCTTGGAGCACCTGACACAGAACACAGCATTAGTGCTGCGTGACCGCTAAGCCCAGGATACAAGTGCTTGAGACCGTAACACACACACATAACCTGTTTGAATTGAGTTTTGGAGTTGAGTCCATATCTTACTGCATATCTTACCATCGGTTGTTGCAGCCTACCGCAAGGTAAGTCGTCAGCATGTACAATTTTCAGGGTCGACATTTTCTAACCCACACCCCCCTCTTCAGAACGAATAGGTAGCATAGCTGACATGCTGGTCATCATCTGTGTGGTACAACTTACTGCTGCTACATCTCGATCCCGAGAAGTAAGATATATATAGTGTGAATAACTATGATGCCGACTACTTTTTGGTGTCACCGGTATCCATCCAAACAACCTTTCTAGCCTGGTAGGACCTGCAGGAATCTTCGTTCCAGCTAATTTGGTTTATTGTGTCATTGCGCGACATGCAAACCCAACTACCATGTCAAGGCAGTAGTCGCCATCGGTCACCCACTTATCACCCTAATGTTCACAGTTATTCACTGATTAAGTCAAAAGTTGTCAACAATCCCCAGACAGTTTAGTTTAGAGAGAGAGAGAAAAAGGAAGGGGGATAGTCTGAGCTTTAGTTTTGCATACGAAGAAACTAGTTCAACTACTCTCTCTCTCCCCTTTTTAGGCGTAATCCATTTTTACGTTAATTTATTATTCACACAACTCAGATCTTACCTAATATCAACCTGTTTTATATTTCCACCATGCTTATCTTGATGATGATGATGACGATGACAATATAATAATAATAATAATAATAATAATAATAATAATAATAATTCAATCCTCAATCTGGAAATCTTCGTCACTCCTCACTATCAACAACAAAATTCATATTTTCAATACAAACGTCAAGTCACTTCTTCTATACGGATCAGAAACTTAGCGGCGGGTCACAAAGAATATTTCCAACAGCCTGTTGCAGACCTTTATCAACAACTAACTGTCTTCGTTCTATACTCAAGATCAGATGGCCAGAAAGAATCACCGACAAGAAACTATGGGAACAAACAAAACAAGAACCGATCATCCAACAAATATGCAGGAGAAAGTGGAGATGGATTGGACACTCACTGGCTGAGGAGGCCACTCGTTGGGTGATATCGCGCGTCAGGCCATAGCTCCAGTGTAAGCCGGTGGGGAAGCGGTGAGGGGGACTTCAGTGCAAGGGTGACATGGAGGAGATCGTGTGAAGAGGAGTTGAAACAGCATAGACTAACATGGATGCAGGTGAAAAGTACAGCAGAAGACAGAAGCAAGTGGAGACGTGTAGCTGAAGCCCTATGTTCTACTAGGAACCCAAGGGAACAATAATAATAAATAATTCCTCAAGCACTTTGTCTGTAATAGTTCATCTTCAGTATACCTCCCCCTCCATTGTCTTTTGATTAATACTCAATACTAAGCATTAATAAACTTTGCATATATCCCTACTAGTTACGATATATATATATATATATATATATATATATATATATATATATATATGATAATGTTAAGGCAAAAATGAATTCATCGATCTAAAATACGTCTCTCTTTGTTGAATCGCATGTTTTCTCTTTCATCAAAATGATAATTATGATGAATATTAGTTGAAAACAAAAATAACAAACAAACAAACAAACAAAGTGAAAAATGTGAATAAACAAGACCGAGAATAACAACAGAACAGAACAGAACAGAAAACTGGCAACAATCCTAACGACAACAACAAAGAATGTACGTTTTCACAAATACAGGTAGGTAGATAGGTAGGTGTATTTAACTAAATCACAGCAAACAAAGGAAGACAGAAAGAAAGAAAAGCAACAAGTATTCGACTTACAAAAATCACTTGGTTTTGCTTGAGATAAATCTTTGTAGAAATCCGTTCGATGTGCCTTTTTCAAGCCTGTACACAAACCGAAATCGCTAAGTTTAATATGACCCTTGTGTGTGTGTAATATGCACAGATGTGGGTTGAATCCGTGTTTCAATTGGCATCCCATATGCGTACAGAGTAGAAGGATTAATTGGGGGTGGTCATGGTGGTAATGCACGTGTTTAGGGGTAAAAAATAAAAACAGGAGAGAAAATGGGAAAACAATAGGATGAAAATACATAACACTATTAATATATATAACAAAAATATATCCCTACAACAGATAACACAAACCTTGATCAATCTGCTCAGCCGCCCTTACTAACAAACGAGAGGATATCTAATACTTGAAAACAACAACAAAAATAGCCTAAGGCCCACTACTTATGCTAGTAAATACAAATAAATATGTACACATCGTCCATATATTATACACCGGCAGAGAGAGAGAACTTCGGTTGTTTGTTAAAGACTATCAACATCATCGGTGAAAAATATCTCTTGCTCTCTTTGTGAAAACGAGATCGCCTTTCATATTTTTTTTCAATGACTAACGGCGTCTGCTGAGCTATCCACTTTGAATATACAGAAAAAAATGCGATATGATAATTTTCTATAGTTTGGTTTGTAAGGGTTAGTTATGGTTTTACGAGATGATCACGGATTGATTCGAACCCAGGACCTTCCGGTTACAAGGCAAGCTCGTATACCATTCAGCCACTGGGACCCGATTCAATGGCCGGTGAATTCTAACTTCTAACAATTCGTGATTTAGCGCGACCAGTGAGGTCCAATTAGATGTCACGTGTGTGGATGGATGTCCCACCAACGACAATGGTTGGGGTCGCGCTAAATCACGAATTGACAGAAGTTAGAATTCATGAGCCATTGAATCGTGTTCCAGTGGCTGAATGGTATACGAGCTAGCTTGCCTTATAACCGGAAGGTCCTGGGTTCGAATCCCAGTGGGTGCGTACTGCCGATGATTCCCAAAACTAGGATGAAACAGCAGCTGTCCAGTACTCCCTGGTTTTCAATGGTTCTCTAACTGATATCTCTCCATGATCAACACGATATAATAACACATCCCGGTCCTCCACCCAACAGTTAGGTGATCGCATTATAAAATTTGACCGACACGATTCAGCGAGTAGATAGAATTGGATAGTAAGACATTGATTAGATTACTCTATACTGACAGAGATGTATGCATCCAAACGGGGACATGGAGGAGATTGTCTGAGGAGTAGATGAAAACTTATGCGTAATCGTAGAGTCAGCTCACAGGGATTGCAAAGAACACAATGAACGCAATGGGTGCCTTGCGCTGCGGGTTGGCCACCCCTCCGCACACCTCTTCAAATGCTCCCATATGACCGGGCGTCTTACATAGCCTCTCCTGAGGAAGTCCTACTCACTGCCTTCACGTGGTGGAGGTGTTTTTCACCAAAGAGAGGTGAAAGCGGATGCCCGGCGCTCTTCACCGGGTTGACTGTCCATTGGATGACAGTCTAGGGGAGATGGCTAAACCTTGATTCCAAACCTCCAACGACTGGCGTATGAAGCTCACTGGAGCTCACCGGCAGACGTATGGACAAAGGGCTTGTGGATGTCCTGGATGTCTGGCCCCATTGAAAAAGGCGTATGAACCGAACTCCGGTCACCGGCTGCCAATGGATAGTGGACTCCCTACTCCACTCCTACTACCTCGTAGGTCACACTTGGTTGTGTAAAGGCTAGAGCTGCACTCTCAAACAAAAGGCCGAGCGATTCTGGGGACATCACTCGTACCAAATTCCTATGAAACTTCGTGAACTCTCTTACAAACCGCCGCGCCTGGGCAGCGATGATTCGAGATGTTCATGAAGCCGGCTCATCCTCCCGTAGGAGATAGCCGAAGTAAAGAAAGAAGAAGAACTGTTGAAACCCTATGTTCCCAAAGAAATCATAATAATAACGTACATATTAGTCATATCATAAATTTTCCGAACTTCTTCAAGATAACTTCTGTATATACTAACACTTTTAGCAATAAGTCAGTTTTGTTGGGACTTCGTTACTCCCGAACAGACTTTTTATGTACCCAGAGCTGACGACACTATTCAATTGACCAAGCTGAAGTAGATGAAGTGGGATTTTCAAACTGGGAGTTTCTATTTGAAAGCCATGTGCTTACGCTAATCTACCACATCTCCAGCAATCAGTCAAATGAACAATAACTTTTGTTCAAAGTTAATGGATTCACTTTTCTTATATACCTCACACTAGTGTGTATGAACACGCATACACACACATTGAATATTTGATGGTTGGAGGCAATCGGCAGGAAGCCTTGAGCCCAGGTTTCGTGCTAGTCGGAACTCACCATTCAGGAAGGCGTATCTGCAACCTTGAAGGAACCTAGAATGGTGGCCACATTACACACCTGACTGTGATAGAATTCAATCTGCACCAAAGAGAGGACTAAACGCCCCACACTAGTTACTAGTGTCAAATCAAAATATTGAATATTTATTGAACAGGATGAGTACTAAACATACTGGACCTCCTCTTACAATGAATAGTAAAACATTTTACGTTCTACAAACAGTTAAACACGAACTATAAAAGAAATTCAAAAGAGAGAACGTGCATCGAGTTGACAGATTTCAGTTCAATAAGTTGAGAGGTCAATTGAAATGACCTTGTTTTATGGCTTCACTAAAGTAGGCTTGCTACATATCATCTTTCATTTTAAATGTTATTCACACTATTCAACACTCTGCAGGTGAAAACAAAAAACTATCGCACGCACGACTTTTCACTTTGTAGAGATGAATAAGCAGCTATTGAATACTTACTTTACTTTACTCCGGCTATCTCCTACGGGAGGATGAGCCGGCTTCATGAACATCTCGAATCATTGCTGCCCAGGCGCGGCGATCTGATGCAAGGTTTTGCGACAGTTTGTAAGAGAGTTCATGAAGTTTCATGGGAATTTGGTACGAGTGATGTCCACAGAATCGCTCGGCCTTTCGTTTGAGAGTGCAGCTCTAGCCTTTACACAACCAAGTGTGACCTACGAGGCAGTAGGAGTGGAGTAGGGAGTCCACTATCCATTGGCAGCCGGTGACCGGAGTTCGGTTCATACGCCTTTTTCAATGGGGCCAGACATCCAGGACATCCAACAAGCCCTTTGTTCATACGTCTACCGGTGAGCTCCAGTGAGCTTCATACGCCAGTCGTTGGAGGTTTGGAATCATCTCCCCTAGACTGTCATCCAATGGACAGTCAACCCGGTGAAGAGCGCTGGGAATTCGCTTTCGCCCTCTCACTTTGGTGAAAAGCACCTCCGCCACGTGAAGGCAGTGAGTAGGACTTCCTCAGGAGAGGCTATGTGATACGCCCGGTCATATGGGAGCATTTCAAGAGGTGTGGGGAGGGGTGGCCAACCCGCAGCGCAAGGCACCCACCCCCGACCATCCTGAGGCTTTGGAGGTTTTTACCTGGGAAGTATCGTTTCAGCTATCGAATTCTATTTACGATGGCAGGATATAAGTTTGCTCAATAAGTGAAGCAGTGAGACATGTAGATTTGGTCAAACTTAGAGTTCAACAGAAAAACCACGCAAGCGTTAACAACAACTGCAACTGAATTAAGACATTCAGGTTACGAGACGAACGCGTTGACTACTCAGACATTTGGTTTGGAGTCCAGTGGCTGACGATGTAAAAACAGAATCATTATAGTTCTAGAGTAGGAAGACACACTCATCCATCCGGTGATGGTACTTGGTTTTTAATTATTCAGCAGACCGATGTCGATGTCGTAATGAAATCTACATGGAACTTCCTTGAGAAGCCTTCCAAAACGTTCAACAGTTCTTTCTTCATATCTTTACTTTCCTAGTGGAAGTTTCTGTAGCAGTGTGGTACTGCTAACCTAAAACGGTTAGGACGCTCGCCGACCATGCACGTGGTCCGGAGTTCGATCCCCGACCACAGACGCACTCCTTTACCTCCCTAAGCCAGAAATAATGCTGGTGAAGAGGATAGGTTGGGCATGAGGCTAGCAACACTATCCTGTAAAATAAATAAACACTGCTACAGAAACTTCAAGCCACTAGCTTGAAGCCCTATGTTCCACTGGGGAACATGAAGGAAAAAAACTAGTTTTGATACCACCCAAGCGAAGTTTTAGGAGTGCATTCGCCGGGAATCGACCCCAGACTATTTGTGTGGTTGGTAGGCACTCTATTCTTGTGAAGGAATCATTAGTGTCTATATACGCTTTATTGCATAACTTAATCAATTCCATTTATTTCAGGAATATGCAGGTCAGATGGTCAGAGACTTTTATTATATACAAGAACAATCTCTCCTCCACACAATGGTGTGTGATAATAACGCTCACTGTCCTACAGAAATATTTCCCTGGAACGTAAAATTCGACAAAAGGAAATCATTTCAAACCTCTCAAAGAAAATAGGAAGTGTACATAAAAGTAATAATAATAATAATCCACTCACTTTTGCATCGAGTAGTAAATTATCCGGTTTAATATCGCGATGAATGAAACCCATTTTATGAATTGAATCAATAGCTAGAACAGTTTCTGCTATATAGAATTGTGTTTGAGGCTCTGTCAGTGTATCACGTTTCATTAACAATGTCATCATATCACCTAAGAGAGAAGGAAATATTTAAAATATATATATATATATATAATGAGTTAATTAAACACATACATTTTTTTCCTTCACGTTCCCCAGTGGAACATAGGGCTCCAAGCTAGAGGCTTGAAGTTTCTGTAGCAGTGTTTTATTATTTTACAGGATGGGGTTGCTAGCCTCATGCCCAACCTTTCCTCTTCAACAGCATTACTTCTGGCTTAGCGAGGTAGAGGAGTGCGTCGGCCGGGGATCGAACCCCAGACCATGTGCATGGTCGGTGAGTGTCCTAACCGCTATGTCACCGATGCACATACACATACATACATAAAGGATATACAAAAATTAGATATTTTAGGATAAATATTACCTAATTATTTACAGTTATATGAACTGCTGCTGGTCTAAGTAAGTTAAGCAGGTAATACATTAACCAGTATAAATCAACAGTGATATATATATATATATATATATATGCATATATATTCAAGCTGTTCCACAATTCTTTTTAAGGGATAAAGAAGACAGTTGAAGTGATTTGCCAATTAATATATATCATCACAAGGGAGACAAGTGAAGCTGAAATATATTGCACACTGGTTTGTTTGATTAATCAATCAACACAAATTAATTGAATTAAATGTTTCCAGCTGTGTTTGTACCATTGAAAAACATGTTCATTTTATTATTACATTATGGTTTTTTTATTATTTTGAAACAGAAAGGTTCATCATTCATTTCATCATCATTGGAAAACTCACCAATTAGCCTACTAATAGGATAATTCAAGTGTTGATTTGTAGGGATTTGGTTGATTGGTTACAGGATTTCATCATCAGCTGACATTGGTTAGAGAACCACAGGAAAACCTGCAGGGAGTACTGGACAGCTGTTTCGTCAGCCTAGTTTGGGACTCTTATTCAGCAGTACACACCCGTCACCAGGGTTCCAGCCCAGGACCTTCCGGTTACAAGGCTAACGAGCTTGTAGACCATTGAGCCACTGGGACCCAATCCAATGGCCAGCCCATGAATTCTAACTTCTGCCAATTCACGACATAGCTCAACCACTAGCCAATGTCTTCGGTGAGTATTTGTCCTCATACCCGACCTATTGCACCCCACTGGTCACGACTTCCCACTGGAAACCCAGGTAACTACCTACCTGAATAGGGCAAGTCGTTAGTGAGCATCTCATCGATATTCAAGTATTGGTTTGTAGGGATTTGGTTGATTGGTTACAGGATTTCATCATGACCTGACATGGGTTAGAGAACCATTGGAAAACGGGGAACACTGGAAAGCTGTTTCGTCAGCCTAGTTTGGGACTCTTATTCAGCAGTACGCATCCACCGGGGTTCGAACCCAGGACCTTCTGGTTTCTCTAACCAATGTCAGCTCATGATGAAATCCTGTAACTAATAGGATAATCTTCTAAACTAAATGAGAAAATTGTGTTTTATGTGTGTGTGTGTGTGCAGAGGAAGAGAGAGAGAGTTGAATGCACTACTCACTATTAATTAGTTTCGAGTTCTTAGATAATATGGTCGTTTCACACATATGAAGATGAACTATTAAAGTGCGATATCATTTAAAGTTCATGAGCAAGAAGTCCTATGCTTGTTTAGGGCGTGTTTCACAATTTTTAAATATGAAATGACTCGCCATACAAAGATGGAACCTGTGAAACCTTAACAAGTTAGGAATAAAAGCGGTATACAAACCCTCAATAGAAACAAATTACGTCGGTTAAAGAATCCCGGCCCAGGTGGCTTAATGGTCAACGATGTTGACTTTGTGGCCTGAAGGTCCTGAATTCCATCCCTGATGGAGTTGTGTGCATGTGTACTGATGAAAAGTCGCAAACTAGGACGAAACAGTTTTCCAGTAATCCATGGTGGTTTTCAATGTTTTTTCAACTGACATCAAATCAAATCCCTGCAAACCAATCCTTGGAAATAATTTAGCCTACCTAACACAACCTACAATGACTGTGAAGTCAAATACATAAATTCAAACAGGAGGCCGGTGTCAATTAGATTAACAACTCCAATGTGGAGTCAGTGCTACTATACGGATCAGAGACTTGCACTGCGCGTCATAAAGAGCATCTCAAACAAACTACAGACCTTCATCAACAGCTAGTTGTCTTCGCACATTACTCAAGATCAGATGGCCGGCCAGAAAAGATCAGCAACAGGGAGGGATCTCTGGCAATGAGCGAACCAACCCAGCAGGAACCGATTGTGAAACAAATAGGCAGGAAGAAATGGAGATGGATTGGCTGGCCATACTCTGAGGAAACAAACCATCAAGTGACATCACTAGACAAGCCATTGCTCGAGTGGAACCCGACCGAAAGGGAAGAGGCGAGTTGGTCGTCAGTGCGAGGGTGGGTGACTTGGAGGAGGTCATGTGAAGAGGAGATGAAAACGTGTGGGCAGACATGGAGCCAGGTGAAGACTCTAGCAGAGAACCGAACGCAATGGAGACGCACGGCTGAAGCCCTATGTTCCTCTAGGAATTAAAGGATACCATAATAAATAATAAATAGTCTAGAAAAAATGTCGCCTATAGTATTTCATGTGCGTCGGTGGCACAGCGGTAGAATGTTCGCCAACCACGCCTCATGCGGTCCGGGGTTCGATTCCCGGTCGATACACTCCTATACCTCGTTAAGCCAGTAATAAGACTGGTAAAGAGGGAAGGTTGGGCATAAGGCTAGTAACCCGATCCCGTAAAAATAAAACACCACTGCTACCGAGACTTCGAGCCTCTAGTTTGAAGCCCTATGTTTTACTGGGAACGTAAAGGAATAAAAAAAATAGTATTTCATGAAGGTACACACAACTATACAATGGGATGGAACAAGATGATAGTTTTAAAATCTAATATAACACGGAGGGAGGGAGAGATTGATAGCTAAAGTTTTATTTATCGAATCAAATGAGAATACGTGTCATTCAATACTTGTCCCGGACATCTGGGAAATCCAATATCCTTACGATTAAACGGGGAGGAAGAGCAAGAGCTGTCAAAATCAATATGAAGGAGGCAAATGTAACACAGCACGGAAGATCTGTGGAAATGGTTATTTGAAGATAAGGTGTACATTCTCCTTTACCAAGTCTCTTGTCTTCTATCGTTACAATACGAGTATACTGAATAAACAGAACAATGTCAAGATATGACGACGACGACTGGTTGTTGCCTAGTTTGAGTCTTAGGTGCAATAAATACGGATAAAAAAAGGTGTATCCAGGCTTTAATTACCCAAACCGGTAGAAAATGTTCAGGCTGAATTGACTCACTGAATATGCGATTCATTTTAGTGTCTGAATACTACTCACTGAATATTCATTTAGTCACAGGGAAAATACAATGAAGAGATAAAGTAAAAGCATAATTTCAAGTAGACATGAACAAAAACCAGTCCTAAGCTTGATTTTTTTTTTTTTTTTTTGATTTACAGCTTGATTCCACACTGTATTTTCAGTACAAGTATGGAATTTTCAGCATGGATATCGGTAGCCCAAATTCAGACCGACCATAGATATCGGGTGTGCGCCGGCAGGGGCTCGAACCCCGGACCATGTGCATGGTCGGCGAGCGTCCTAACCACTGTGCCACCGAGCTCGGGAAAAGAGGACAGGCTGGGTGTGAGGCTAACGACTCTAGTCCAGAAAATCAACCCAATCGTTACCGGAAGTTCAACGCACAGAAAAAACCGTTTTATGTCATGAATTGGCAGAAGTTAGCATTCATGGGCTGGCCATTGAATAGGGGGTCCCAGTAACCTAATGGTCTGCGAGCTCGCCTTGTGTAACTAGAAGCTCCTGGATTCGAATCCCGGTGGATGCGTACTGACGAAGAGTGCCAAATTAGAACGTCCAGTATCCTCAGGTTTTCCAGTTGTTCTCTAACTGATGTCAGCTTATGATGAAATCCTCCGACCAAAAACATTTTTTTAACAAAATACACTTATTCTTCAATAGATTCGGAGGGGTAGAATGATTCTGACTAATGAAAGCTTTCACAAGAAGCCAGGCAGCAGATATGTCTTCTTTCGATAAAAGCAAAAATGAGCATCGGGACATGGAATATCCAAACATATCCGTGTTTAAAACTACAGGTGGCATGGAGGAAGACGTCAAAGCTAGGATCAGAAAGACAAAATAGGCCTTGATTAATCTGAAATCTGTGTAGAAATCAAATGCACTCAGCATAAAGAACATCAAACTTAAATCAGTTCTTCTGCATGACTCAGAGGGACTTAGCAAGTCACTAAAAGCATCTCGAAAAGGCTTCAAACTTTTATCAGCAGCTGATCCTTTCTCTCTCTCTACTGAAGAAGAAAAACGGTGACTCTAAACTTTAGCAGCCCAAACCGAAACTACCTTGAGAACGGAAGAATGACCTTGAGCAGGCAATCAGCTGACTCGGAATGGATGCTGTACATCGTTTGCGGTGCAAATTTGCTCCAGAGTTTGTTTTTGATTACTGTTTAGAGAACAGGCTGATAGCGAGGTCGAAAACTTGCCAGTGCGGAGGTGTAATGCATATACAAAGATACACGAGGTGCGTCGACGGTTATGTTTACCGTTGCAGGGAGTGCAGATGCAGAAAATCGGTCCGAGAGGGTATGTCGTTGTTTTTTAGTTTATAGATTCCTTAGATACTTTTTCGCGAAAGTTTCTGGAGTCATCTCAAAAAACGGATAAGATCTGTGAACGGATCAAGAAATCTAAATATTTACAGTTATCTCGACGAGTTTATGTATAGGCCTTGGTTAAACATGACTTTAAAGACGCCTATGTCAAATTGGGAGGTTTTTTGCAACATATACGAGAACGCTATCCTATGTAACTATTTTGTAACATTGCATTACTTGTATATAAACGATTTATTAGAACTATGCGCCGTTCATTTTAAGCTTTCTGATTGGTTAAAGTTGTCCTTGTCAAGGTCATTTGTCCGTTCGTAAGGTAGTTTTCGTTTGGGCTGCTAAAGTTTAG